GAGCTATCAAGAAAGACAGATTTTTCGAGGCAAATTTTTACTTGCCAGCCCCGAAATCACGTGATATTGTACATATTAAATAATAATATTTTGTAACGTATTTTCAAATTTATTACGTCACTAGATAGAGTTACGTAAGCGAGGAGAATGTTTATTTTTATGTTTTATTTTTTAAGATACATACCTTCAGCACAACTCGCGAAATGACGCCCGTTACTGGAGAAATCCATATCGGTCACAATTCCGGTGTGCCCCTTTAGCGTACCGGCCAGCCAAGGGTGAGTATAATCTTGCTGCACCTCTCGACGTTTCTTATTTTTTCCCCGTTTTCCGCTGCTGTCAGGCAGATGCGGTTGTTGCTGGAGTGACGATTGCTGAACTGGCCGGGGTGGAGGTTTCGAGGCTTGTGGAGCTTTCGAAATGAATGGAACGTAGTTGTAAAATGTCGCTGGAACACAAAAACAAAATTAAAAAATAAATCGTGAATACTTAAATAAGACTGATATGTAAAATCCGTGTGAGCAAACGCATCTGAGAGATCCTAAAGCTAATCATCAGATTACACGTAGTTTATAATTTATGATTCTTAGTTTGCGACTTGTAATAAATTCGCAAGATTTTTTTTCGTTTATCAATACAACCTATATAATTCGTAATTCATCGCTTAAATGGTGTAGCTTATGCACATGAATCAACACTAATTGATTAATTCGACCAATTAATGAAATTATGCCCTGTTGATTTCAAGAACATTTGCTAGCGAATTAGTAAAGATTCGACTCTGTCAACCATTCATGCGCAAGTTTAATTTAAATCGGAATTTTCTACTTTTTTCCTGGAGCTACAGAACTTACAATTAAAATTTCTCGCAAAAATATAAAAGAGCAAAAGATATAATAAAGTAACATACAGGAATAATAAGTAATAGAAACATTACTCTTGTAAAATAAAATCAACAATTCGCATTACGAATAATCAATAATATAAATTTAAATTATCGACGAAATAAAAATAGATGATCTTCGTGCACCTTAGCATCCAACTTTAGAAAAATCAACTTTTCTATACAAGCAGCGGAAAACGCGGAAAAAATTAGAAACGTCGAGAGGTGCAGCAAGATTATTTATTTTATATTCCATTTATTTTATATTCATCCTTAACTGGCCGGTACGCTAAAGGGGCACACCGGAAACAGTTAGTATTTCGTTTGCAGTTTCAGTAAATAGAAAAATAGATGACTTACAGATAAATAGATTTACAGATTAATAGATGATAATAGACTTACAGATAATAGACTTATAGATTAATAGATGAATTACAGAAATATTTATGCAACACACATACATATTCTGAAATAAATATTTTTTAAATTTAACTCGTATTATGATAATTGATTGTTACTCAATTATCACTCAAGCAAATAAATAAATTCTTAGAATAAATCTCTTAAATTATTTTCCATTGTTACTTGAGAAAATAGATAAAAAATATTTATGAAATATTCTAAATGTTTACTAGTAATACTATTCGATGCTATAAAATGATGGTTTTTATCTGCATAATCAACTTCAAGGTTTACAATTTAATTTCACAAAATTACTATGATATATTTTTATATAAATAATAAAATAATATATTTTTATGTTGAATATTACAGTGATAGAGTCTCCTCTATCAAAAAAATGGAAATTCAGGAGATACATCTTAAGTTACTAGAATCTAGAAAAAGCAGTATAATGATGTTCACTTTTATATGTATGTATATATATATATATATATATATATTCTATATATTCTAAACACTATACGAAACGATGTCCAGGCTAGAGTAACTCTCATTTCGAAAATCGACTTATATATAGATGAAATATAAATAATATGTTATTACTGCACTATAATGAGATCATAATATTATCTATAGCTTTAACAAAACCATCGCAATTTACTTAAATGGGAGCTTACTTTCCCGCGATAAAATTTCAGACGATTAAAAATATCAAATAAGATACGTAAGATATGTAAATTAACAAAAATTGTTTATGGCATAAATAAAAGTAGGCAAATTATTTAGCAGCGTACATCAACTGTCGTCAAATAATATTACATGTGTTGTCGCGTGAAATTATGCGCTTGTGAATATCGGAACATTCGTGTAATAAGTACTACTACTTGGGAAAGCACTGTTTATGTAAATCACACGATATAAATATGCAACTGCTCTGTTGATGTTTTTTCGTCATCATATTTATCAAACGATTCATGTGTAATATAACGCTTCGCGCGTAAATACGAGCGGCATTAATTTGTTGATTGCGCAATGATAAGTATCCGCGCAATCATGTTTCGCTCATTATATTAATACTTTGAGTACTGTCTTCGAAAATTCGATAAAGCATTAGATTATTGAAATAAACAGAAAATGCGACGCGGCACGACGGATAATTACGGAAAAGATAAGTCAGAGAATTAGTTATTCTTTTTTTCTTTTTTCGAACAATTCTTTTATGTCGTAGAGAATAATTTCTGTATAAAAATTTTCCATCGCACGGAAATTTTCCATTGGCTTAAAATACATTTTTCTCTTAAAAAATTTTATTGCCTTAGGTATAAGTAATACAGATAATGCATCGTTTTTTCTTTTATGTTTATTTTAATTCTTCGCATTTAGTATCGGGATATAAAGTCTAAATTGAAAGAGAAACTAAAGTCAATATAGATAAATAAAATTCTAATAATATTACAGCCTGATTAAATATAGTCTCAATAATATTGAAATAGTATTTGAAGATATAAAAAAAAAAGAAATTTTATTGATTTATTCAAATCAAGATTGGTGGTAATAAGGAAATATTTCTTACGCAAAAATAATAATTGTTACATAGTCGTCACACGATTTGTAAAAAGAAAGAGATTACGATAAGAAATATGTTTGCAATTTTTTGTTATTCTTTTTTAACGCCACGGGATTGTTAACCGAGCTAATCATTCTCCTTGTTAGCTTTCATACATTATATCTTAAATATTTTCAAATGAGACAAAAGTTTGTTTCGCAATACTTGTTTGAAATAAAATTTTTACATGATATACAAATGTTACTATAACAAGAAACAAATATTCTTCTTCTGAATTACTTTTAATGTGTAACGAATCTACACATTAATTATATAAAACATGCAACTTATGTAATTCACATAAATTGTACTTTATTATAATTTTACTTTTCTTGTTGATTATCTTATCCCAAAATGAAATTCTCAGATATATCTATTTTAAATTAAATTTATATGATTCAGATTATATTGTAAGCTAAAGATACGTTTTTTTTTTTTTTTCTAAAAGTATTAGAATATTTTGCTGGATCGCAACGAGGATAATAATACAGGATAATAATAGAATAATATGTAAAAGATATTCGTATTGATTAATACATTATAATACACTAATATAATATAATAATATAGTACACTAATATACTAATATATGTATATAATATCAAGTGTTATCATACATATAATAATTTTTTAATCTCGTGTTGCAGTCTCGAGCACCGATGAATTCGTCGACAAGAGTATCATACATCAAGGGTATCATACATAATTTGACCTCACATATTTATAACACAGACACCCTGATGAGTTCCATGCCTTGTATTATATAGCACATTACGCAATCCAGGGCATATATGCTGAAGTCGAACTCTTAAGCCGTAAGGATCGACAAAGTACGTCTTATTGCATCTCGAGCAATTCCTTGGTATTTCGTCGTTTCAATAATTCTTCTGGTAACCGGGGCACTTGCGATGTTTTTCTTAACACTGCTTCTGTCATTGCTTTGTTCGAAGTCGAGGCACTTCTCGTTCACCGCTGAGATTGCGCCTCCTGTTTTTAATCGAAACTGTCGGACGAACTATCACTTCCTATTGGATACGATATATTGTTTGTTACGGCCACATTATTTGAATGAAAGAACCGTATAGTCACAGATAAACATTAACAAAAGTAATAATAAGTATGTTTTTATTGCCATTATTATCTCAATATCTGTCATATATGTTATTTTTGTTCTATAACTCCGGTATGACAAATCGTTGTTGGTACACGGGAAATAATTATACAGATAAGGTGATTGCGAATTCCACGCTTGTGAAACAGATGCTAAACACCTGTTTCCTTCTGTTTTTCCTGTTTTCTTATTTATGCGATGCATATTGGTTTTTTTCTGGAATAGTAGTTCCGTCTTGAGTTCTTCGTTCCTCCGATGCTATTGCTCGGGGGATCGGATATTTCGAGTGCTTATCTTTAATTCATAGGAAAAGACAAATATACGTAAATTTATATTAGTTCACAGATCTACCTTGAAAGATATTAAAAATGTTCACACACGACACGCGCATGCAAATTTCTTATTCTACTTTTCTCTTTCTTTCTTTCTTAATTGTTTCTCTTCCTTCCTGTCTAATTAACGAGAAACACGATACGAAAAGGCAAGTAAGTCGGATTTCTAAACTTATGAGAAACTAATTCGAGAAATCGAAACTGATAGCTTAAATGAAACGAGACGCGAGACGCGGTTTCGTTTTTTTTTTCCCAAAATGAGACAGCAGATAAGATAAGAATCCACGTGTCGATGCGTATTTTATAACAATTTGTACGGCGCTTTGTTAATCTTTATGAACCTTCGTATTCGACTTTTAAAAAATTAACATTCTTATGAAAACAGTTAGTACTTCGTTTGTAGTAACAATAATTTCGTTTATAGTTCCATCCATTAAAAAATATCAAATTTAAAAAAATGACATGCACTCGACATTAAGATATTTCAAATCCGCTTTTTTAGAGTCGTTTGTAGTTGTTTGTAGTGCATTCGTTTGTAATCGAACCGTTCAAAAGATACAATAATTTAAATGGCCAAGTATCAATTTCAATTTCAATATCTAACTTCATCAACTAAATCATATTATGCTTTCTTCAGTTATATCTAACTTTTGAATCCTATAATTACAAACGAAACGGAAAGGAATTATTTTACACGCACATGCGGCCGCGCATAATACGCGGCAAGGGTAGTCGTTTTTTTTTTTACGTACAAATTTGTTTCTATATCAAGAAACAAATATTCTTCTGAATTATTTTTAATGTATAACGAACACTAACACTAATTATACAAAACATACAACTTATGTAATTCACATAATAAATCGTATTTTATTATAATTTTACTTTTCTTGTTGATTAGCCTATCCCGAAATTAAATTGAAATTCTCAGATTTATTTATTTTAAATTAAATTTATATCGTTCAGATTATATTATCAAAGATATTATCAAAGATAGATACGATTTTTTTCAAAAATATTAGAATATTTTGCTGTAGATTGCAACAAGATAATATAGAATGATAATAGAATAATATGAAAAAGATGATTAATTAATATATTATAATACACCAAT